CGAGGAAAGTTTTGATAGAGGAGCTACGAAGCCGTGTGGAGAATAGGGAGGAAACGCTTTGAAATCCCCTCGCGCCTTCGGCGTTCGTTTCGCGAGAATAACAACTCTCACGCGCAAAAACAATTACGCCAGCTGCGCAGGCTGGCTTTAAGACCATCATTGCCCGTCCAGATCGTTTTATAAGTAGCGTGATTCCAAGTAGACTCAGCCACTCTTGTCCATAAATGTAGTTTCAGACTATGCTACTCATGTATACTTATTGAGGTTTCCATTTTCTTGTTTAGTGCCGAGGATTGAAAATCAACAAGCACTACTTGCCAAATGCCATGGTTCAAGAGGTATTGTAATTTGTGTCTTTTTTGATTCTGGCATTTAATGTCCCCTACCATACCGAAAGAAATTCCAAGGCGTATGCCTCAACCGGCAACAAAGCTAGCTTTTTGTCCCCAACGACATTTCCTGTACTATTCCGACACTTCTTGATACATTTTAATTGGCTTAAGGCCACGTGATCTCTTATTAGTAGATCTCTTATTATTTGTTGTAGATGACGCCTGGAGAGCTCAAGTTTGCGCTGTGCGTTGAAGCAGCCCTGAATCGCATCCCAGAGCCAGAGTACCGTCAGCTTGTAGTGGAGATGCTGATGGTGTTGTCGCTTGTTGTCGAGTATCATCCTGAACAGACTCTTGGCGACACTATTGATGTTGATGAATTAGTGTGGGAAGGCCATAACTTGTACCTCAACGATCAGGTCAGTGACATGATACACTTGTTATCGTTGGAAGCGCATCAGTTTTTAAGGAACATACATACCCAGCTTAAAGCTTTACGGTCTGAATGCACACTTTTGAGCAAACTTACTGTCGTTTGACCCCTCGTCTAATTGTAAGTTGTGTGCAAAATCATAAGGAATCTAAAGACTGGATTTTGCGTTAATTCTAAGTTCTATTTCAATCAGCCGTGTTGCCATGGCAGCGATCGAAATCTTAGTTTTACAAATATATTTTGTCCATGCAATATTTTGTACCTGCAACGAGACTTCAGTAACATCCCGATGAACGGCAACGATCCACAACCTATCAAACTTTGTTTTAACTTTGTTTATCCACCTTAAAACCAGTTATGTAAAAATCAAGTTTGCTTCGTGGAAATAGTTTACTTCTTCGGTGCATGTTGCAATGAACTTACATACACTGTTTACCTCAGAACTCCTTCTCATTTTCTTATCGGATCGTGTTTATTTTAACTGGTATACTATTGTCTTACTATTTCAGATAAACATTAAAGGTGATTCCACCATGTGCTGTGCTCGCCCTCCTAACGAAAAAATCAGTTGCGGCGGAGCTGCGGGGATTTGTCGTTACTTCTACGACACCGCGCCCAGTGGTCGCTTTGGGACAATGACTTACTTCTCCAGAGCTGTCGCCAAACGCGTCAGCTTCTTACCTCACCTGAATGAATGCGTCGTAGCCTAAAGTAGCGAGGCGCTCCAGTGGACAGACCTGAGGAGGAGGATCTTGAATGACCGATGCCAAACCAAACGGCTTTGATAGCTTGTGTTTTGGTTTTGAAGTATTTTTATTTTTATTTTTACATTTTTGTTTTCAAGAGTATAAAAAATTTCGCTATAAACCTAGACACAAAAATTACTAGTAATTATCGAAATTAGGAGCCCCTTGTAGAGGCAGGTGTTCTACTAGTTACACAACGGTCTTAACATGGAAACGAGGCATAAGGGTCATTCTGTAGGCTGGGGTAAATTTCGATTAAAATAAGCTATTTTAGGCGAGTATCCTGCCGGCAGAATAAGGCATTTTCGAGCAGAATAACGCAAAATCCGTGAGGATAACGATAACATAACAGTTGCAGGAGAATTAAAAACTAGGTACTAAACAAGATTTAAGATCGTGATATTAAATTTACCCTTTTCGAATAAATGAGTGATATTTTACGTCAAGGTAAGGCGAACTAGAATGTTGCTATTAGACCTAAGCCAGTTGTAAATACATAAAGCCCGAAGGACGAAAATTTTTCGGTTACCACGCACAATTAGTTATCGACAGGATATATTACTAAGGAAAACAACGAAAAATAAATGTAATCTGTTAAGTTGAAAATAAGGACTAGGCTAACTCGTTAACCAAGCACCAGACGAGGTATATTATTAAACAGTTATTAGGGGCCGACCATTTAACTCTTGAGGGGAAGGGTGGGTGATTTCTGGTCATCAAGAATTTTTTTTCTAGCAATCTGGTGGGCAGGATATTTTTTTCTCTTTTTTCCCCATAAGCTTTCTATTACATTTGTCCTGCATGCAATTTTTTCTTCCGACAAGCGCGTGCAGGAAATTTTTTTTAAAAATCCCCCCCTCCCCTTCAAGACTTAAATGGTCGGCCCCTTAGATGCGATTTTTTGTGATATCCGGAACACAAAAACCGAATCTTATTGTTTTAGTATTAGAAGAAAGTAACGACAAACACATCGTCGCAAGGAATGCAGTTTGACATTAGTCTTGGAAATCATACATTGCGCGCACAACTTACAAGTTAGTCAGTTATCTGCTAGTAAATTACTGACTAACCTGTAGGTTGCGCCGATTTCCAAAATTAACTGTAGGTTCCTAGCCAATGAGAAGACAGCTAGTGAGTAGAGTGTATAATAACAAGTGTAAATAAATTAGGGCGCGTCGCTGGAAATCAACAAGTTCCATCTATCCGGGACTAATAGTTTTTTTTAACGTAATTTAAATAAATGTAGTTGCAGAAAACTTTAAGCAGCAGGGAGTTTTCTTCGGTGCCTGAGGACTTTATCAGTTCTAAAGAAGTGTTGTTAAATTATAAATTGTTATAAATTATGCGGAATAAAGTATGCCTTACATATATTGTTTCTATGGCCGCCTTTGATCAAATTTGTTGCCGGCGCACGGTCAGCGTGATAGCAAGTCCAGAAAGGACACAAAAAGAGAAAATGGAGACACAGCTTTATTCGTTTACACGTTTTCTTTGTTTGTGTTCTCGAGAACTCGCTATCGTGCTAAATTACTCATGATTACTACGCTGTATTGCTGGAAACTGGGTCAAAGTTCGTCCCCAGAACATTCCCATGGTGCACTGCGACACAGTACTGATGGCAGCTTTGGAGACGAGCATGTGACTCGATATCACGTGCAACCTCCAAATGGCCCCGTGAACGCACAGTTTTTTGAAGTACCCGTGCCAGAATACAATGTCGACGCCTTGAACTTGGCCACCAAAGTGGCACCGGTTCCCTGTGAGTACGTGTTCTGCTCTATAGTCCAGTCAAATTGTGGTTTAGCATCAAACTAATTGCAACAGAACTTTTTTCAACGCCATTTAATTGTTGGATGGCTATTTAACAACATACTAAAAATCCGCCAAAATCGGTTCGGTGAAGGATAAGAAAAATTGGAAATAAAGATTGTCAACTTTCACCACAGGAAACCCAATATCAGGAAGATCGCGAATTCAGACAACACATCTGATAATTGTGTTTTTTTTCCTCAAGAATTTTCGATACAACATCGCTAATGTATTTTGGGTAGTTTTGTTTTTAAAAAACGCCGACTAAATGTGTGAGGAACACCTGGGTCAATGTTTCGTCTTGAGGGATTTGCACAGGCTACCCAGCCACTCGTCTGTCTTCACATTCTGTTTTCCAAGCTTTAGTTTTTTTTCTATGACGGTATTTAAAAGGCAAATTATTAGTCAGTCTGTGTTAACATGGTTAAAATATTAGTAATTGTTTTATTTTTGCGCAATATCAGAAATGCAGTTCGTATTTTGGCAGTATCACAGGCTGGAAATTTTTTGATATATCCTGCAGCACGGATGCAAATCTAGTAGCTGACTGATTTGCATCCATGCTTCAAGATACGTGCGACTAAATGTGTGCAACCGACGATAGCTTTGTAACAGTAAAAACTGTTTAACCTGTTCCCATTTTCTGTAATCGAGTTTTGTGAGGTAGTTATGTTCAAACCTTGGACATAGTATGTGTGATCGAAATAAAGGACTTTTTTTTTCTCGCGACATGCGCAACCTCCTTTAGGATTATGACTCCGTGCTTTACAATGTGAGTGAATAAATATTCTGCTAAGGACTCCGTCGATTTGGTTTATGCTAGATCGTAACGCTCTGCGCTTTTCATTCTGTTGTAAGGGAAATCCAGAAAACCAAGCGCAGTGTTATTGTTCTTTTTTTATCTTCTTCTTGTAGCGAGTCTCAGATTTAGTTTAGTGTATCTGTGTATTCAGTTTGTATTTTCTGCGACAGCCCTTCCTTTCCTAGTAAGATGAATAAGTAGATTAATCGCTCTGTGGTCTAAAGGCGCTTATATTCCCTCCTTGCATTTCTTTTGTGAGAAAAACCCTGAACCTTGACCAGCTTATTTTCGTCAATTGGCAAATGAAGACCTCTTTTTCTATAACGATCATGGGATCCTAGACGTCTGAAAATAATTGCAGTGGTCAATGAAGGTGCGAAAGTACTGGACACATGTACGACATTAATGGGCTTGCCTGACTTAACTTCTGCATGATGGCTCGCCTCTTTTTGCGGAACCAATATTTCTCTTCGGATGAGCGTTGTGTAACATTTCAACTTAGTGCATGTTAACCTTCTGACTGAGTTGCGTGAATTATGCTCTGGGTGGGGAATTTCCATTACTCCATAGACTCTTACAAGATATTTTTACATACGCATTGTTTTGGCTACCCAGAGTTAATCTTTCCCTTAAAAACAAGCTTCCCTATTATACTATTTCGTTTTCTTGAAACAAACGTTTGCTGGAACCAAAGTTCTTATGCGAAACTCCAAACTCCTCAAAAACTACGTTTGAGGAAAATATTTCAAATTTCAAAAAACGCTTGATTGACAGAGGCTACCCACAAACTATGATAGAAAACCTTCTATCAGATATAAAGTTCACAGAGAGGGAGTCTACTCTCCTGAAACACAACAACAAAGAGGAAAAAGAAATAT